GCAAGCCAAGCCCACAGAGGCGTCAGACAGAGTGCTAGGGGTGTCCCACCCACTACTGAACGTCAGCAGCTGGACAAGCAAGCGCTCCGTGTCAGCAGCTCTTGAAAGCAGATGCCAGGGGCTGTGTATAGGCCAGGTAGGGAATCAATCTGAAATTAAGGAACTTCGCTCGTCAGCCTCTAAAACCACATCTTTCCAGTCAACACTGAGAAGAGAATCCCTGAGCCCCAGTAGGGCCAATTCTAAAATATACACAAGGTAAAAATACATTTCAATGCACCAAAAGAAATGCTGGCCATGTTTTTACTATTTTAATTCCCTAGTAAAAAGAGGTTCCTTTTGCCAAAGGCAGAGGGAGTGTTCCATCAAACGAAGTGACTTACATGTGGCTTTGGGTTATGTTAGTCTGTTTTGAAAGCCTGGAGTGTAAATACAATCCTATAAGAGTCAGAAATCAGTTTATGGAAATTGGCACCGAGGAGACCCTATCGGCTATGACATCCAGATCTCTACATACCATTTAACAGACAGGTTCCTCTTAATGAAATGATTTTTGTTGTTAAGTAGAGCAAAAGTAGGATGGGTGCATACGGGTGCATTTCTGCTGTTGAAAATAAATATTCATGGCTTGAAAAGACCTTCAAGAAAAGCACACACCCCTACCTTTCCATCCTTGTCTTCAATGAAATAGCTATCATATATCTTTTTTAAAAAGATATTTTATGGTGGACGTTTCCAAACATTTAGTCTCAAATGGCCAGGGTAAAAGCAGCAGCTGTAATCTACATTTTTCTTTATCCTTTGTGCTAAGTTATAATGTAAACAAACCCAAATGCTGTAAAACCCAAATTTGCAAATAACAGTTTATGGCTTAATACTATGTATGAGTCAGACCTATGACAATCAACAAACAATTAAAACAAACTATGACTAGAGCCAGCTGCATGACTTGGGCCAGTCTCTTTCTCTCAGCCCTAGGAAACAGGCAGCACATCATTTCTGAAAAACCTTGCTAAGAAAACTTCACTGACTTGTCCAGGCTGTCTCTGAGAATTGGACACGCTCGAACGGCAGGAGGGGGAAAATGGCCAGGGAGAAACCTGCGAACTTTGTTTAAGGATCCATCTACAACTCATAATTTCTTAACATTCTGGAGTCCATATTCTGAGTGCATAATTCTCAGTTAATAATTTCCAGCAAGATGAATAAAGCAGAGTGACAGAACTTTGAATATTTATTACTTTAGTCAATGCATTCAAAACAGCTATAATGCTCATTAAGAAATTAAGTAATATTGTCAAAAAGCATTTGTCAGGAAATAGCCATCTGAAAAGACGCTAAAAGTTTACTGATCAGTTCTAATTCACTAGAGGGGGCCCACATAGTTTCAAGCTTGATTTCTTAGCCACAAGGATGATATATTCCATGTTTTAGCCATTAAAGAAAAGAAAAGAAAAGCATATAGTAATCACACCAAAAGAGAAAGCTTACCTAGGATGACTGTAGGAGCAGTTAACACACCCAGCCTGACTGACATCTCAAGAGGATTGTTCCCTAGATGGATGGCGTCATGGTAAGAAAAGTGGAGTGCTCAGAACTATTACATAAAAAGGGATTATGGCTCTTGGTAGCACTGCCAAGATTATCAACCAGAGCCACGTGGCAATTGGAACTGCAATTCCAGCAAGAGCAAGATGCACTCTAGAAAGATGCCTAGCTTGTCAATCAACTACACTCTCTCCCCTCCAGCACCACACATACCCACGCACACACACCAATGACATTTAAAGACTACAAGCCTAAACCCACACAAGTGGACTCTGTCAAACTGAGTTCAGCAGGACTTCCTTCCAAGTAAATAGTCTTAATTTAATTGCCAATTAATTGGCTTAATTCAGGAGTGAATGCCACGGAACAAAACTAGCTTTACTTCCAAACAGAGGGCAAAGAGGAGAGCTGTTTTAAGAAAGCATTTTACTGTCCTCACCAAGCACATCGCTCTCTGAAGTATTTACAACTAGCTCGATACCCGTGCTTCGCTACGAAACTATGTGGTTGGGCTTAGTTTTTTGGGAGGAAAATAAGGGGGAAAAATTCTGCCTCTGCTTACCAGCATCCATTGGTATTTGTCTGGCTAGTGTCCTGTCAGTGTGTGAGAATTGAGGGCTGTTTGGAAACTGAAACAGTATTTCCTGTGTGAGCAAGGAGACAATAAGGAGGCTGGGCGTGGCTTATCTCAACTGTTCTGTACTAAAGCTGGTTGCTGCTGTGAAACTAAAACCTTTCATCTGCTTGTTTTGCATTTGGAACAGATTTCTTTTCAGGTGGAGAGGGGGAGTAAACTCCTTAGCATCAGAGCATGTTAATAATAATATACGAAATACTAATGCTCTGATGGTCCTTTCAAAAATCCTTTCTTAGTGAGCACCTAGAAGCCAAGAGGAACATATGTGCCAAATTTCAAGTTTGTAGGCTTTACGGTTCTGGAGATTTTGTGATGATGCGTGAGTGGTATCTTCACTTTTATATATATAGATGCATCGCAACCTGATTCTTGATGCTCTAACACAAAGTGGGCTTATGCAATAAGTTCATGATGTATAAACAAAGAATTTGATTTAGGGACATTTAGTTTCACCCCAAGGACCAAATCTATTGTGTATGCTAGTTAACTCCATTCACACAAGCAGCCCCCCATAGGGGCTTACAAGTCTCTAAATCAGGGGTGTCAAACTCGATTCCGTTGAGGGTCACATCAGGGTTGTGTTTGTCCTTGGAGGGCCTGGGGGGGGGATTAGGGGCTGGCCATGGTAGGTGTGGCCAGCTCAACATCACTTGTGTCGGGGGCATCTGTGGTGGTCAAGTGCTAAGGCAGGACTTTCCTGAGACCCTCCTTCACTCTCATAATCTTCCTTCCTTCCTTCCTTCCCTCCCTCCCTTGCTTCTCTTCTTTTTCCTTCCCTCATTCTCCTTTCTTCTTCCTTCCCCTTTCCTTATTTTTCCTTCCTTACTCTCTTCCATTTCCCCATCTTTTTCTTTGTCTTTCCTCTTTCCCTTTCTCCTTTCCTATCCCTTCTTGCATGCTCAAATGCAAAAGGGGGAAACATTTCTCCTTTTGTTTTGTTTTTAATTTGTTTTGATAGCCCTCTGCCAGCAAAAATGGAGCCAGGGTGGGGGGGGGGCGCATGTGCTCCCCCATTTTCGGCTGTGATAGCTTCTTGCAACCCTTTGTCAGCGAAAATAGAGCACTGGGGGGTCACCGTGCTCGATTTTCGATGGCAGAGGCACCGCAGGCCAGTCTTTGGCTGTTCCCAGGCTGTCCCCACAGACCAGATCTAAGCATCCCATGGGCTGGATTTGGCCCACGGGCCTTGAGTTTGACACCCCTGCTCTAAATAAAGGTATGCTGGGTGACTAAAGACAACCCATCCATATTAAACTCATTTCTAGGAAAGGGAGAAATGAAACTTCCTCCCTTTTCAGCAGAATAATTTTTGAGCAGTCTTCTTCCATGATTGGATGAGGTCTGGGCCCTTGCAGGCATCAAAGGAAAAAGAAATGGACACTGAAGTCTGCAGGAGAGCATTCTTTTTAGAAATTAGATCGCAACCCATAGGCTTCCATCAGCATAATTCAATGCAAGTATGTGGCCAGAACACATTATCTTATCAAGCCCCAAAGATGCAGTGCCACCAAAGCTTCCAAATTCTAATGCCACAATCCAGTAGGTAGGCATTGCATTGGTGAAGGCTGTTCTAACCTCTAATAACCTCAAAGAACAAAGCTGATCTGTAAAGATCCGGCCAGATGCCCTTTTAAGGATTAAGATACAGGAAACCTAGCAGATGTCTTCTCACAATTCCCCAAATAACAAAAGCACCCATAAAATGTCCGTGGAGATTCTCAATCATCCAGGTCATCCTCGACTTACAGTGGTTTGTTTAATGACTGTTCAAAGTTACAACGGCCCTGGAAAATGTGACTCATGACTTTTTCAGAGTTACGACCTTTGAAGTATCCCCATGGTCACGTGATCAAAATTCAGACGCTTGGCAACTGGTTCACACTTATGACCGTTGCTGTGTCCCAAAGTCACGTGATCCCAAGCAATCTGCTTGTCAGAAGGGGAATCACGTGACTTTGAGACACAGCAACGGTCATAAGTATGAACCGGTTGGGGAAGCCAGATTCACTTAACCACCAGGTTATTAACGTATCAACTGCAGTGATTCGCTTAACAACTGTGGCAAGGAAGGGGAAAAACTTGTTCAACAAATGTCTCACTTAACAGCAATGTTGAGAGCTCAATTGTGGTCGTAAGTTGAGGACTACCTGTAATTGTCTCAAAAGTGCTTTTTCAAAAGGCAACTGGATCCCTTTTGGTTTGAAAGAGGTGTAAAAGAGAGCATTTATGTTGAGCGGCCCCCTCTCAACAGAGGGGGAAAGGGATAAGACACTACAGCCTGCAACTTGTAGTGCCAAGAAAAACCCACAACCATTTACACCTTGAGGGCAAAGACAAACCCTCACAGAGAACGTGAAGTTGACTCCAAGAATTACACGCCTTCCATTATCTTCTCAGAACCTTATCCTTTTACGCGCCCATATAAGCCGTCCAGCCGTCCTAAGCAAGAATCCCTCAGTTCCAGGGTCACGGGTCATCCACGCCAACCCTGCACAGGAGCGTCTCGGGGTTGTAAGAACGAGGAGAGACGAGGCGGCTCCCCGCTCCGCTCCTCTGCTTTTTTTAAAAAAAAACCTCCCCTCGAGGGTACCAACTTCCACCCGCTTAAGTTTGGCGCCGCCCCGAAGCCTTTAAAAGGACGGAGGAAATCCGGGACTTGGAGCACCAAGGGGACTTGGGTTTCCCACAGAGCGACGGCTGCTGGTGGTGGTGGGTTTAGAAAGGAGGTTGAGGAGGTGACCACGCCGGGAGGGAAGGCTCGCGGGGGTTGGGCATTGATTGTCCGGGCGCGCGTGCCGCCCGCCCCCCTTCTCACCTGCTGCGCACCTTTCTTCTCCATCGCCGTCCCCACAGCGCCGGTTCTCGGCTTCCTCGCCCGGGAAAGCGGCCCGGAAACGGCCTCCGGGGCCGTGACCTCCCCAGGCATGGTGAGCCGGGCCAGCCAGCCGATCGTCCTTGTTCGCCCACTTCCTCGACGAAGACGACGATGACAAACCCCACCAGCACCAGCACCACAACGCGGCTCTCACCCCGGCTGCTCTCCCCATCCGCCCGCGGCTTTATTTTCTTGCAAACTCCGCCCTTTCGGCCCCGGCCAGGAAGGAGTCTCCGTGACGTCAAGCCCAGACCCGATTGACGTCGTCGGAATCCCAGCCATCAATGGGGACTAAAAATAGACGCCTCCGAGCCCAAAATACACGCCCTGGTGCGCGCAGCGGAGGCTCCCCTCCTCGGGTGCCGTAAGCTTTTTCTTTCTCTCCCCGCCCCACCTCACCCCCCCCCCTCCCGGCTGCGCGGCAAGAATCCGCGGCGAGTGGAAAAACAACAAAACAAAAACAGCTTTTCCCATTTCCAAGCTACCCCCGAGGCCAAAGAGGTGGGCTGCCCGGGTTGACGAGGCCGCCGTGGGAGGATCGCGCTGTCGTGAGCGTGACGTTCCCGTCGCCTGGTTAGATCAAAAGAGTCAGATGCATTTCGCCGTGTGTGCTTTCCCTCCAATATGAGCAGGGGAGGAGAGGGGGGGGGGTGGAAATTCCTTCCGTTATGCAATTGTCTGAGGAAGAGCTCCGGCCATCTCGAAAATATGCGTGACGACCCTCTGTGACAGGTTTGGTGGGTGCTTAATATTAAGTACAGTATTATCCAATGGTGGACTGTCGATTTTGTTTTGCTTCTTCTCATCTAATCGGTCAATCAGTAGGGAAGCCATTAAAACGTTTAGGTTCTTTTAAGGTCTGGAAGGGGGGGGCGGGTTTGCCTTTTTTGGATTATCTCCAGGTAAGTCCTCAATTTAGGACCACAACTGAGCCCAACGTTTAGGTTGGCGAAGTGAAAAAATTGGTTTAAGGGAGTTTTGCCCCCTTTGACGACTTTTCGTGCCACCGTTGTTGAATTAGTAACACGGTGATTGTTAAGTGATTCCGGCTTCCCCATTGACTTTGCTGGTCAGAAGGTCTCAAAAAGTGATCACGTGACCCTGGGACCGTCCTAAAGGTGAGTCAAGCATCCGAATGTAAATCACATGATTGTAGGGATGCTGCAATGGTCCTAAGTGTGAAAAACGGACAAATCCCTTTTTTGCAGTAACTTTCAATGGTCACTAAGCAAAGTGTTGTAAGTTGAGGACTACCTGTGTATGGCCTTCCAAAGACAGCAGTAAATGGACTTCACAGAAGAAGACAGTGGGTCCTTCCTTCCCTAGAGAAGGAATTGGGGATACCCTCCCATAGAAAGAGGACCAGCTCCTTTGAAGGGGACTAATTCACACATCTTATTGCAACCCAGTGCACTTGGAGTTGTGGGATTTTCTCCTGAGTACCTGTTGGCATAGAAACAGGAAGACTAGTATCCTTGGCACTTCAGCAGCACAATTAGGGATTTTTGAAAGCAAGGCTGATTTTTTTTAATGTGCATAGGTCAGGGGTTTTCAAACATTGGAGGATAACAAGCAACTTTAGAGGAAGGGGGCACACAATTTTTAAAAACCTAATGAGGCTTGTATAGCAAAGTGGCAGCATTGCCAACATCTTCCTGGCTTGCTTGTACAAGCTGTAGCCAAGACAAAAACTAATACATGAAATAAGTTTTGAAAGATGGCTAAGTCCCAGGGCCAGGATCTAGCTGTCTATCAAAGCCACCTGCCAATCACAGCAGCTTATTTACTATTTAATTTTGGGGGGTGGGTGGGTTTACCCACATTCATATTAAAGGGTCACTATTGCATAATTGGAGATTCGAGTATGGATATTACAATGTTATCTTGGAGAATCCAGATGGTGAACACCACATCAACACCTGTTTCAATTCAAATTTGTCCTTGACCATTTCTTCACTGGAGATTTCTATCACCCAATAGTCCTATCCAGGCATGGTTTTGGAAACAAATAATCAAACTATTTGCAGATGTTTGCATGTGCAGTCTTTCATTTTTTTTAAATACTGAAATTCTGGAATTTCAAAATGCCGGACTGTCATATGGTAATTCAGACTCGTTTCCTATGAATCATTCTACACTTGGTTTTCAGAGCAGAAGATCCCCTTATACTCGTATAGTGTCAAGCAATCATCCTGCAATCACACACCCCTTTTCCCAGTAGTTCCTCTCACTGATCCTGAAGATTTATGTTTATTCCCACTCCTAATGCGCTGTGCCTAAAATGCTCACTAAAAGCAATTAATACAATCTCATGAAGTCCTATGATAGTACTATTTTTCTATATTAAAATGAACCACGGTAATAAGAGCAATAAAGGAAAAGCCATAATTAGCCAGCCAGAAATTGGCAATGAGGGAAAATTAAAGAGATGCTATTCAAAATCATTTAAAAGGCAATTAATCACTAAGTTCCAGGCCTGGATCATCAGGAAGTCATAAATAGTCTAACTTCAAACTTTGAAAGAGGCATTTATGGATTGAAACTGACTTCTCAGTAAACAGGATAGGAGCATCTGAGTGAATGGAAAATACATTATTGAATAATACAATACTGTAATAAATGTGCTGGGGATTGCTATTCGATTTCTCTTTCAGGAATTGTAGGAGGATTTCAATAATGCCAAAATGTTCCCATATAGAAACAACTTTATTGAACAGAGCAAGCACCACAGAAAATCACAGCTTTAT